GGGGGAAGAGAAAGAGAAGAATAGCTTCGGGCCAAGAAATTCACCACTACGTAGAGCAGCATGAGAGATGACGACCACATCCAAGGAAGGCAGCAGGCGTGTAAATTACAGTAATTACCCAATCCTGCCTGACATAGAGAAGATGTGAATAAGGAGGATAGAAAGAAAAAAAAAATCTTTGAATATAGAGCGCGCGAGCTCAATTAGCAGCGAATCGGAAGTGTTAGCGCAGACGGGAGGGGAGAGATCGGGGGGAAACAAAGGGGGAAGAGCAGGCTGTGACACATCCGGGGAGGTTGGGGGGGGAGGGTGAGATGGACTCATGTGGCGGACAACCGCACACGCAGCAGCTGCTTTCTGATCGGTGGAGATCTGCCCAAACGCGCGCAAAACGAACCTGCCTCACACACACGGTACTCTTGAGCGCATGCTCGCACTACGCAGGACTCTTTCGACTACGCACTGGAGTTGATTGCCGTCAGATACATCCAGGCGCGTTTGTAATCGGAGCCGCGTACATCCGGGAAAGTACTTAAAAGGAATTAGGCTCTGAGCCCACAAATGACGTGATGATAGAGATGCGTACATCCCGGAAGTACTTAGTGGAATTAGGCTCTGAGCCCACAAATGACGTGATGATAGAGATGAACTGTGTTTAGGAAGAGGCCGTGACTTCCCGATCTTCGATCGTTCAGGAGAAAGGGTTGACCGCCATAGCCGTCGGAATGAAACGATCCTCCATAGCCGCACTCTACTGCATCACGTCCGATGAAAGGATTGGCAATAGCCGCACCGCAGACAAAATAACAAGGCAAGGGGGACAGGGGAGAAGGATGAAAAGAAGAAGTCATATAGAAGAAGAAATAGAGAAGAACAAGATATCCATCGCGGATGGGATGATTGACCAGCCGGCCGGCCAATCGACGGCGATCCAGGTCAGACGAGAACCAAGCAATCCATCACGAATCCCCATCGCTCGATGTCCCGATCCCTTCCATGTGCAGAAGCGGAATGTCGACCTGGGAGCAAAATCCAACCGAAGAGGGCATACTCTCACCCCGGCCTTACGGAATGTATCCGAGCGAAATCGTGACCAGGATCGGTGGAACAAGCTCCCGAGTGTGAATCTGGCCTGATAAATGACGAGGATTGTCTCAATTGGAATTCGAGCCCAGGTTTGTGTATTTCACCAGTTGATGGGTGTACCAACTGAGCTACCAGTTGATACGACGAGAATTGTCGGCACCCGTGAAAGGAGGAACTACTACCGTCTTTCCCCGAACATCACGCACCTGATAGTGAATGCATACAAGCCATCTTTCCCGTTCAGTACATCCGTAATGAGGGTGCGTTGTGTTCGGGATCAGATCGGGGAGATTTTACTGGTCGGGACGGAGGTGAGAGAGGCGATCGGGCCATTTGTAAGTCAGAATCACCCACCGACGCAATTCAATCACGAACAGACAAATAAAGCCACCCGCTTCCGGACATCCATTTTACAATTGGAAAGATGCAGAGGAGACTTAGCAATGGCCCTGCGGAAGGACGACGCGCATACTAGTAAATCGAGAAATGGTCGACAACAACGGGGGAAAAATGAAAATGGGCCCGTGCACCACCACCCGCAAGGCCGTCGGGCATGCAGAGCATCGCGTCGAAGATGACCGTCAAGCTCGCACTGAAGGCGTGCAGCCAATGACAAACAATGCGGGAAGAGATCAAGCGTAAGCGTACAGGACCTGGGCTCTCTCGGACGGTCAGGCAGACCGTTGCTCAGTCAGGAGGAGAAGAAACGAGCGGAGCGACAGGCTACTACCGGTAGGTGAGGTCGAGGACCCGCCTGAGACTGCTGTGGATCAGATTGACCGACTGAGCCCCAAGTCCTAATGGTCGCAATCAAATCCTGCCATTGCCATACCGTTCGAGGAAGAAGGTCTCATCAATCACTGTTCTACTCTTTGCTTGGCGTGATTCCATGAAGAGAGAGAGAGAGAGAGAGAGTGCACGCTGATTCACTACCATGTCAGTCGACGACGAAACGACTGACCAGGTTCGTTGCACGTCAGGTTTCAGAGGAGAGTGCACGCTGATTCACTACCATGTCAGTCGACGAAACGACTGACCAGGTTCGTTGCACGTCAGGTTTCAGAGGATGAAGAAAGGGACTGTCTAGGATGTGGCACTGAACGAGGCACATTGATGGATCTGGACGGCCTCCAAGGACACATCCATAGGGCAGATTGCACGTGTCAGGTAACGCCATGCATCAGACTGCCCACTGGATCAGACTGCACAGGGTAAGTAAATGAACCTGGTGGCGCTCTGTTCTCGGAGCCCTCTTCTCGGCACAGATCCACACGACGATATCCCTCACATCTTTGTTCTGGAAGCCCTCTTGCAATACTGCAATGAACGGAGGGCTCTCTCGCAATATTGCAATGATCGGAGGGCTCAGGTGGCAGCACAGGACAAAAGAGGGGTATATCTAGATAATCAACACTGTTACGAAACCCACTCACAGCTTTGAACCCGAGTGCCGCCTGAGCCCTCCGATCATTGCAATATTGCAAGAGAGCCCTCCGTTCGCATGCGCAGCCGGCACCGAACTGGCGAACGGGAAGGAGAGCCAGCAACACTAGGGGAGAAAACAACGCTCCTCGAGAGGGAAAAGCAAGCAGCACGAGAGTGAGAGTGGTAGTACAGCAAAGGATGTGTGAGAGGGCATGAAAGAGTTTGATGGAATTCGGAATCAAAATGAGCGGGACAGGGAGAGGGTGAGCGCGGAAAAGAGAAGGCGCGGAAGAGAAGCAGAGCAGAACGGACACCGCACAAGTGGACAAACAGCGACTCTCAGCGAGCGAGCTGCCAACGAGGAAAAGAGATACAAAGGTGTGTTTGATAAAACGAGGGAGAGGGGAGGGGAAGGGAGGGAGGGAAGGGGGGGGGGAGGGGAGGAGGGGAGGAAGAGACGGTTAGGGCGAGCAGGAAGCGAGAGCAGAGGCAGAAGCACCAGCGGAGAACGAAGAACAAAGCCCAAAGAAGAGGGAGAGACACGTGGACAGCCTATACTGGTGGGGTGGGTTTCGGGGTGACAACGGCCCGTATGCCCCAGCGGAGGAAGGGATAAACGGAAACAGCAGCGGGAATGGAGGTAGGAGAGTACTGAAAGTGTGGACAGCCGCCAAGACAGAGAAGCAAAAATAAATAAAGAGGACCGGATAGCCACCAATGGACAGTCTCGCCAAGATGCGTACAGGAGGCGCGGCAGGGGGTACAACCGAATGTGAGAGAGAAGACATTTACGTGGAAGATGTGCACAGTGAGAATGACTCGAGGACAGTGGGAAATGACAAAGCGACAGGTAAGAACGAGACACTCAGAAAAGGGATAGACCGGGAGGAAAGGGATAGACCGGGAGGAAAGGGATAGACATGCGGGAAGAGGACAGACGGAGTAGAAAGGTGGGACACGGAAGCCGAGAGGAAGCGGTATTACGGTGTTGAGAGGGAGGGGAAGGCGCGAAGAGAAGAGAAGGTAGCAGGCGGAACGAGAGGGAGGGTAGGTGGACAGAAAGGAGCTAGAGACACAGGGACAGAGAGAGGAGAGTAGGACCATAATACGACTGCTTCACAACTGGAACATTGAACTGGCTCTCATTGAATGCCAAAGACCAGCCCTCGAAAATGTGGATTGCATTGAAGTGTCAGAGAAAGGCATGGCTTGCACGAGAGAGACCACAAAAATGTCACGTGCGAACACTCGGTGGCGCATACTGATCTGTAGACAGGGGGCTCTCGCTCTCTACTGGCAAGCAATCGGTGCGGATCTCAGCCAATGGTGTCCGATCGACTGCGGCATGACTGGATCTCGACCGCTCAGTCCATTCCAAAAGGAGTACAGGCCTCCCATCCTATAAAGAGAAAGAAAAGTAAGGTCACAAAGGGAAACATATACATTGAGAGGGCACAGAATTAAGTAAGGTCACAAAGGGAAACATAGGCATTGAGAGGGCACAGAATTACCTTAGCGCTGCGGCGAAAACGATCCAATCGCGAAGTGGTCACGATTCCTTCGAACGCTGGGCAGCCATGGCCCGCTCCTCACTCTCGCCTGCTAATCATGCTCTACGACGCAAAGCATACGTTACGACGCCTTACTCTCTCTCTCTCTCTCTCTCTCTCTCTCTCTCTCTCTCTCTCTCTCTCTCTCTCTCTCTCTCTCTCTCTCTCGTTTAGAACTCCGTCTCTTATTACATGACGCTGTCTCTTATTAGATGTCGCTGTCAGATGTCTTCTTCCTTTCCCACTGATCTTGCTCGACGGCTTGCGGCCCCCCTCAGATTCGCCAGCAAGATAGTAGCTCCTCTTACGTCATCCCAAGTCTACACGTCGATCACTACTCTATCCAGTACCCCCCTGCATGTCATGCCAGACCTCAGATCCAGCATTGTGCATCACAACATCCACTGCCTCCCTCGCCTCTCTTCTGGTCGCGCGCGCTCACACACACACACACACACACACACACACACACACACACACACACACACACACACACACACACACGCACACTCAAACAAGGACGCACGCACACGGGCACTCACACACACAGGAACGCAATCGCACAAAGACAGCCGCAGAGAGAAGAAAGTGCATACTTTCACTGTCCTCTCGCTGTGCGTTTGATCCGCCGGCAAGAACTGTGCTCTCGTTCCCTCCTTCCTTTCCCGTATCCTCTACACTGTCCCGATCGGTCTCTTTTTGCATGCGGCCGGCACTCCGTCCTAGCTGCTAAAGGCGCAAAAACACTTCCCGCTATGTGTTTTGGTTAATTAGTTGACTGACAGATTTATTGGTTGACTGACAGACTGCGTAGTTGACTGACATCCATCGGTTGCTTGACCACCTAAAACGGTGACACAACAATCCTTGGCCGACCACCCGGCGTCACGATCACGGCCCACAGTCCGCCCGCCCGCTTTCAATGCCTCTCGAACTCGAATCGCTTTCTTTCTGAACTGATAGCGAACTGAGGGCGCGCTACCGAACCCAGCGTTCAAGCGTTTGCTACCTCGCGCCAGCGCCAGTGCAGCGGGCGCCGAAGAGCGGGAGATCAGGGAGATCAGGGAGCGCGGAAGCCGAGTTTCGTCACTCCCGCCAATCCAGCCAGAGGCGCCAGCCGACACCGCCCGCCAAGAAGCGCGCGAGCTCGGGAAAGTTGTACATTTTCGATACTGCCTCATGAAAGAAAAAAGGCAAAAACAAAACGAAAATCATATGGAGCGGCGTTTGCTGAAGACGTGGCACCCGCCAGTTCGGTTGTGGGGACAACCGGGGTTTTATTGCTGAAGAATGGCCAACTAAAACCCAAAACTTTCGCCCCGTTGGTCGGGGTCGTCTGGGCGCGCGTCGGCGGTGCATTATAGTATAGGTGCAACCACCGGACTTCCTACGGATTGCGAATGAATCGATCCGTTCCCCGCCGGTGGGTTCGTTGGTTGTTGCCGCCTTTCCTCCCGGTCGCTATAACGACCCCCTCTACTGTGCCGCTGGCGCGGCTCCGGGCCGACCCTCCCTTGCCTGCCTTTTTCTCCTCCTTGGGTCTGCTCTTCTTCCGTCAGCCAGAATATCCGAGCCTGTCGCCCTTGTGCACGCTCTACGGATGTCCCGAAGGGCTTTGACAATAGCAAGGATGCCCTTTGTTTTTTCACAAAGGTGGTAGCCACTGACAGACATTGTTGTATTCGTCCGACCCCCTGGGAAACTGATGGTCTGATCATCAACATCTACATGGTCGAACTGACGGGTGCCAAGTAACACCACTCTTGAAAACACAGTTTCAAGAGTTTGGGCTTGTTGGGCATACAGGGCCTCGCTGCACTACTCTCGAAATGCACAACAGACAGAAATCATGGCCGTGTATCTTTCCATATTCTAGCGGAAGATTCAGGGCCTCGCCACACCACTCGAAATGTGAAAAAGACAGAACTGTGACGGGTGCATCTGGCCGTGTTCTAGCGGAAAGCTCATTCTCATTTTGCACATTTCGAGAGTGGTGTGGCCATGCCCTCACTCTCGTTTTGCACATTTCGAGAGCAGTGCAGCGAGGCCCACAGCCTCTTTGAATGGGCGAAAAATCCTCCAAAACGTGTCAGAAAAGGGCTTCAAGATTTCCCCTTGAAACACCCAAATCCCCAGCCTGCAAGACTCCAGGTTTCAAGTCTGCTCTGCTGAGCACTCGGAGCACCCTCCTCCATTTTTGAGAGGTTGACTGTCATGCAAAGGACTCAAAAAAAACAAAGAGTTATGTTTGTCTTTTATTCAATAATGGCATACTTCATGCATGAGAGTCCCTCTTTCAAGAGTGCTGTGTGGTCAAGGGCCAAAAGCTCTGGAAAATATCTGATAGCTCTTGAAACATTTCACAGTTTCAAGCGTGGTGTGGCAAGCCCCTAACTCAGCTGGGCCTCACCACATCAGCGTTGATAGCCTCATCAAGAAAAAGTTGACACCTGCCCTTTCATCGTTTACCCCTGTTCACCATGAAGAACTGCGACGTCACAGCTTCCGGGCCTGCGCCATCTTCCGGACCCCTTGTCTCTTTTGAATCAAGATGTGTCTTGTTCGGCCCCAGAAAACCCGTCTCTGTTTTTACGATTAAAGGTGCCTCGCTGAAACCTGTATTTTTGACAGTACTAGTGATTCTTGAAATTCCGCTTTTTTTTGTAATTTGGAAATGCATGGGAATTACGCGCACCTTAGCGAGCGCGCTCGAAATTTGGCTTGACGGTTAGGAATTCCAGAATTAACGGAACTCGGCGCGTCCTTTCGCGCATGAATATTCTCGGCCACGACATGAAAAACTCTGGGAATCTTGTAGGAATACGAATAAACGTAGGACTGTCTTTTCTTTTCCCGCGCCTACTTTGCGCGCGGATATGGTAATTTCAATATTCGAATTAGCATAGGGCTTGGACTGCAACTGTGTCGGTGCCCATTCTTTGTTTGTTCGGCGCCATGCATACGAGCTCCCTCCTCCTTCCTTCTCGCGCGCCTCTCAACTCCCTCCTTCGTGCGCCCATGCTCTCTCTCTCTCTCCCCCTGTAACTGTTTTTCTCTCTCCTTCCCCGTGCGCGCCCTTTTTCTCTTTCTTGATCATCTGAATCTTAGACCCTTTTCTCGCTATCCTTCGCACCCTTCTTCCTCCCGCTCTAAACCTTGCGCCCGAAAACCCGATCGATCCTCCCTTCACCTCATCTAGCCAAGGAGAAGCGCCGTGTAAGATGAGATCCCTACTACGCGACGATTCTGATTGGCTGAGATCGGACTGTGAGGGATCAACATGGCTTTCGATGGGCGATTACCCTCAAGCCGTCCCCCGCCCTCCTCTGTCGTATTCTTCATCTTTCCCCGCATCTATCTCCCTTCTCACAACTATAAATTTCGCAAGCGCGTCCGCAAATCTCTCTCTCAACTCGTCAGCCAACTTCCGGGAAGCAGTGGCTAGATGGTGTGTGGTGCGAATCGAAAAGTTCCGAAGGGCTGACTGTAGACTCGCTGACTGTGCGCCTGATCGCCACGACGGACTGTGAGATCGGGCAAGCCCGTGCAGAAACTAAGTCGGCGGGGTGACGATCGCGATGGTAGAAGGTGGCACGCGACGATCGGGATCGTCAGTCCATGTATGAGGATAGTGACCAGAGTTGGATGGATGAATGGCCCGTGGCCATAATGGAACTCTACGGCGGATGCGCCTTCCTGTCTCGAATCTATTCTTTGGTGTGAGTACAGCTCCACGGCAGTTAAGTCGGAAATTCTTTTCATCTTTGGATTTCTGTATGATTGTCATCTATTGCATACATTTCACACTTCTTCTCCCCACCTACCTTATGATATGAATGACTATGTATGCATGTCGTGAAATGGTTGCCTGATGGGTAGGCGTTCTGATTAGCCATGGGATGAAGGGGCAGAGGTGCAGAGCACACGGAGAACTAAATGATGCATGGCTGTCATTTTCGCGCCTTCCGCGATGAGTAACCACGAATGTAGATTGTCGTTGATGGACTGGTTTTTGATTACGCCGAAGAGTTGTTGCGAATGGAATGCATGAGAATGGTTGAGTTATTGGCAAGAGCAATGATGTTGGGATTTTGTTCGAGAATGCAAGAGTGTTTAGATCTGTCGATGATGTGATTGCGAAAGAATCTTCAAATCCCGAATACACTACGCATGCCATCTGTGGCTTGCCCTCGATACGCAAAACCCGAAAGGCGATCTACCTTCTCAGAAAGAAGGAGGGTGCCACGTGTGACCTGCATGCGTGGATCACTGACTGTACCCCACCTGATGTGAGTACTGAAAATTTCTTGACGAGACCCTCAGATCATTACGAATGCTCTCTCTCTCTCTCTCTCTCTCTCTCTCTCTCTCTCTCTCTCTCTCTGAACTACCTTTGAGGAAATAGAGAAGTGCTCTCACTCCGCTTTGCATGTCTAAAGCGAATAAAGGCGACGCCCGGAAGAACCCGATCGATAGGTTGTGCCTTTTCGATCATCACGATTGTCGGATTAACGATGAATGATTGAAACCAACTCTTGCGATTGATTGGATTGCCATGTGGACTGACGGCCTCAACCCGACTGGATGCCTGCCTCCCGTATCCCCACCACATCCCTTCCCGTACAACGAGAAAAGGACACGTGTATGCGAGTGGAACGTACGAGAAGCCGTCGCCAAGATCGGCGTCCGATACTATTTCCCTCCCGAAACTCGGTGCTCCGGGTTTGTTGGTGCTGGCTTTGTTATTATCGATACACATTTTTCGCCTTATTCGTTGCTATTACCGTTTAATGAATCGATCGTCATTCCGTGGACGGCAGTGACGCCTCATTGGCCTAACACTCTGTGCAACACTTGTTGTCGCTTCGAGCGTTACCAATCAAAAGGCTTCCACTACCGAGTATGGAGTGAGGACGAGCATAAGGAACGAGCTACGCGGTTGAGACCCTCCACGTCAGATTCTGAGTTATGCAATGAGCGGCGTCGGGACTTGATCCGACAGCGGGACACCAAGTGCGTCCCTGCTCCCTTTCACGCGAAGTGGAGAGCAACGGCCCGATGGGAAGTTCAACGATACTTTTTGGATTGAACTTCCCCGCGTCGAGCGTCCTGCGTGCGCCTTTTTCTCCCTCGAAACCCGCGCAGTGATGGACCCTCCCTTCTTACTAAGTCGGATCGGCACAGGGGATTTCGGTTCTGTCCGTGTCCCCACACTCAATTTTCCAAAAATTATTGGCACACCCCATCTCGTTGTTTTTCTGGGCCCCCCTTCCGCAAATTAAACACTCCGAACGGAAGACAGCGCAGGGCGTAAGGTTGGTATCAGAGCCGACTCGTGTCAGTTCTGACGATAGTAAGACGAGCTCGCGAGAGGAAGATCAGCTAAACGATGTAATCGTCTCAGTCCTCCCGTCACTCGACAGAGGTCCGCCGAAGCTCGACCAGAGATGCCCATGGCTGATGCCAATGGAACACCTCCCCGGGTGATGGTAAGCATTCCCGCTACCTACCCATTCTATCCCAACTACACTCATCTAGAGGCTCGAAGCCGTGCAAGCTCAGGGATATGGCGTCGAGGACCTTCCCCGCGTCATTACCCTGCTACTGCGAAACACCGCACATGATTGGTTTAGAAGGCATAGATGGGTAGATTGGGACACCTTTAAGAGGGCGTTCTTAGACTAAACAGTCTGAGTGGATGAATAATCTGATTCAGATGCAGGTTTCTCAGATGGATCGGTTGGAACAAATCGTGACAAAGCTAATGAAAGCAAATTCCAGCCCTTCTCGCCCCGTTCCTGCTCCGTACCCTTTGCTGACCACCCCTCCTGCAACTGGATTAGCTCCTCCCGATCCCACTCACGCGGTCAAT